AATATGGGGGGGGCGGCTAAAGTTTATTGTGCTGCCTGAGGATGTAAAACCAATGTCAATGTCTCCTGATTAAGGGTTAATAAAAAGGACTAGTCTCTTTCACCCATACCACACCAGAAAAAAAAAAAAGTCTAAAATCACTTTTAATGAGAAAAAAAAAATCTGACAGGCAATACTTGGGGTTTATAGTTATATGATCCAGAAAAAAAAAAAAAACATAGGGATTCTGTTCACCCTGTGAGTTGTAACACCTCCAATGATCATAGTACTAGGGCCCAACCCGGTATTATCTGACCAGGGCCAATGAGCCCCTGCCGAGGTAGCCCCCATTTCCAGAGCCCTGGGCTCCACTCCTAGTCCTAAAAACCCTTCTACAACTCCTGCTTCACTGCTGGCAAGCTCTAATACAGGCCAGCGACTGTTTGATCTATAGTGGGAGCCTTTTCTTTGCTAAATAGTACTGACCCTAGCTTGACACAATCTTGTTGGCTATGCTTGTCAACAGGACCTCCCTAATATGAGAAAATAGTCTCATCTGACAGTTTATTGATCTATGATGGGTCTATAACACTGGTTTGTTAATCTCTGTGTACAGATCCAATTGATCATCCAAATTTACTAATATCTCAAGATTGAGATATTTGACCAAATAAGAGGAGGGAATGTAAGACTTTAAGACAATCCTGAAGTCATTTTTGAATCCTCTCAGCCTCTGTGCCATAGTGCTTCCCCTCCTCCCCTGGGAACCAAGAACCTAACAGCTACACTCGCACGTACTCAGTTCCTGAACAATTACCCATATACGTATGCTTTGGTTCGGTCCACTGGGAAACGGGGTCAAAATGACCTCTTACCTCATCTGATCTGGCAACAGCTCTCCAGTCAATTATTGGCAATAGCCCTTTCAAATAACCCAATCAGAATAGTCAAAGAACAACCCCCCTTGCTTCTGTAGCCCCTTTAAAAGTAGACTGTACCCGCTATTCGAGGTCCCTTGGCTTCCTGAATGCTGGGGGACCCTGTCATGACAGAATTAATAAAATCCTCATGCTTTTGCATCGGCTGTGGTATGTGGTCTCTGTGGTCTTCTCGGTGTTTGGACGCCAGAGTCCAACAGGCAGATCCTGGAAGCCCGAGGGCCAGATAGAGTAGCTGAAGTACTTTGGTAAGAAGCCTATCTCAAAAGAAGACAAAAGAAAAAAAAAGGGGGGGGGGACAAAAGGTGGAAAGCTATACCTTCCTAGCCTCTGCATGTGAGCGCACAGTCCTGCACCCCTCAAAACACTCCCCCACCCAACAAAAATAAAACGAAACAAAAAAAAACAACCAAAAAAAGTTTCCGGAGTGGCTCAGTGGTAGAGCGCTAGTCTAGTGTATCCAGGCTCTGCAAAATTAAGAAATGTCCCGTTTCACGGTTAGGTGAATATTTGAGCGTCAACTCAGACAGGCGTGGGTCTCTCAACACTAAGACCCGGCTCATGAGTTGGCTCCGTGGTGAAGAGCACTTGCTGCTTGCTGCTCTTGCAGAAGACTTGGGTTCTATTTCCAGTACTCACATGGTCGTTCGCAACCATCTGTAGCTGCAATTCCAGGGGATTCGACTCCGTCTTCTGTCTTCTGCGAGCATCAGGTACAGTCATGTTTGCACATACATACGAACTCAAAGTAAATCGAGAGAGAGAGAGAGAGAGAGAGAGAGAGAGAGAGAGAGAGAGAGAGAGAGAGAGAGAGAGAGAGAGAGAGAGAGAGAGAGAAACACTCTCCTCGTCCTCCAGGTGGCGCACGAAGTTATTATGTAGCGAAATAAAAATAAGCATAGTCCGGGGACCCGAGGGACATTTTCAATCAGGCGCGCTCTGGACAGTCCAGGCTCCTCAGAGGCTTGAGGTTCAAGATAACCGCGAAAGTCGGGTGCCGAAAGGTTCTTAGTGACCAGGAACAGATAATTAAGCTTTCTTTAGAGCTTCGCTTGTCCTAGACCTGCGTCGGCCACTATTCCAAGGGAGCCGATATTGCAAGCAGGCACACTTCGGGCAGCCTTTCCCGGCGTCCCTAGCGACAGCGTCCCGGGGGCCTCTGGGGGCCTCGGAGCAAGATGGCGGCGGCGGCGGGGTCCAAGAGGCGCGAGCGGCGGCCTCCGGAACGAGTGTGAGGAGGGGTCCCGGGGTCCCGGGTAGCTCCGGGCCGGGGCCCCGCTGAGGAACGGACCATGCTACGTTCTACCGGCTTCTTCCGCTCCATCGATTGCCCATACTGGGCAGGAGCACCCGGGGGGCCTTGCCGGCGGCCCTACTGCCACTTCCGGCACCGCGGAGCTCGGGGCCCCGGCAGCGGAGGCGCGGCGTCTCCCGCAGCAGGTAAAGCCCGCACGACTGCGCCCGGTTCCGCAACTTGGCCAGCGCGCCCGTGCTGCATGTTCCCCTTATGCAGCCTGGTCGCACACCCTCACAGTGCTGTCCCTCCTCCCCTAGTCGCTGTCGCGATGCTGTGCAAGTGTCTAGGCCTCTCTGATCACTGAGTAAAACGTAAATGCCGACTCGGCAGAGGGAGAGACAGTGTAGGCGTCCGAGCCTACATTGTCCGTTGGTGCAGTCGGTGCGATTCCCCCGGTCCTCATTCCGTCCTCATTGTTTGAAACGGGATGTCATTCCCCTCCTGTCACCGAACACCCAACCCTATGCGCTTGTGGTACATCTCGTTTATGATCACGACACTTTCCTCGGGCGTCTCCAGTAGTTGGAAATACAAGGCCCTAGGGGCACCTGCTGTTTGTCTAGCTGAAAACCTACTTGGCTTGGATGAATGTAGACTTTCAGTTTGTCGGGGAGCCTGTCACAATGACTGTTGTGATGGCGCTTCTTAAGGCCTCGAGGATTAGGCAGTGTGGAGGAGGTACTGTATTAGAAGAAAACAGTGGGAGAAATTAGGATTTTGTTAATTAGTGTTTTGTTTGTTTTTACTGAGTAGGCCTGACTAGCTTGGGACCCAGGATCCTCAGTTCAGTCTAGCGAGTTCTGGGATGACATTGTGGGACTGGAGAGATGGCTTATATTTGCCGTTTTGACTGGAAGCGTGGGCGGTGGCACGTCTCTTTAGTCCCACGGCACTCGGGAGACATAGCCAGGTGGACCTCTTGAGTTCGAGGCCAGCCTGGTCTACATGAGGATTTGTTCCAGAAAAAACATAGATAGTGAGATCCTGTGGGGTTGGGTAGGGAGAGCACACTTGCTACCATTGCAGAGGCCCGGGATTGGCTTCCCAGCATCCATATAACTTCCAGTTCCAGTACCTGATGCAGTCCGGTTCTGCGCATCAGACAGGTGTGGTGCAAATCCATACATCCAGACAAAACTCTTATGCACGAAATTAATAAAAAATACAAAAAAACTTAAAAAGTGGCACTGCACCCAGGCATTGTGACCTTTTATCCCAGCACCAGAGAGGCAGAGGCAGGTTGGCCTGAGTTACATATGTGGCCATCTCTAAAACAGAAAGACAGGCAGACATTAGGAGGAAAAGGCTGGAGGAAGGGCTTATTGAATAGAGTTCTGTTTAGACCCCTGGTGACCTCTGTCCCTTCAGAGGGCCTCTCCTTTATTTTATTTATACATTTGAGGCAGGTCTCATGTAGTGTAGGCTGGCCTCAGAGTCTGCGCAGCCAAGAATGCACCCTGCTGACATGACAAGTGCATCATCCCAGCTGCTTTGTTGTTGCAGCCCTGGGGACAGGCGCACACTCACGTGTGAGAGGTGAGCCTCAGCACTGGCTTCATCTCCAGTTCCCAGATTGATTTCAGATACCAGTCTGTCTCAGTCTGTGTTTCTTTAAGTAAATATTTATTTGAAAGTGTTAAAGCTGGGCTGTGGTGGCGCACACCTTTAATCCCAGCACTGGGGAGACAGAGGCAGGTGGATCTCTGTGAGTTGGAGGCCAGCCTGGGCTACAAGAACTAGTTCCAGGGGCTGGAGAGATGGCTCAGAGGTTAAGAGCATTGCCTGCTCTTCCAAAGGTCCTGAGTTCAATTCCCAGCAACCACATGGTGGCTCACAACCATCTGTAATGGGGTCTTCTGGCCTGCAGGCATACACACTGTCAGACTATTGTATACATAATAAATAAATAAATATTTAAAAAAAAAAAGAACTAGTTCCAGAACAGGCTCTAAAGCTACAAAGAAACCCTGTCTCAAAAAAAAAATAATTTAGTGACAGTGTTGTAACAGTCCCCCCAAAAATAAGTCTGATGGTAGCACACACCTTTAATCTTAGGAGTAGAGACAGGTGGATCTCTGAGTTCCAGGCCAGCTTGGTCTACAGAGTGAGTTCCAGGACAGCCAGGGCTACACAGAGAAGCCCTGTCTCTAGAAACCAGAACCAAACAACATATATGTATGTATGTATGTATGTATGTATGTATGTATGTATGTGTATGTATGTGTATGTATGTATGTGTGTGTATAGATGTATGTATGTGTGTGTATGTATGTGTGTGTATGTATGTATGTGTTCCAAATGTGTGCAGTGTCCAGGAGGCAGAAGAGAGCATTGGATCCCTTGGCACTGGATTTAGGGGTGGTGGTGAACCGCTATGTGAGGTGCTAGGAATCCAACTCAGGTTCTCTGCAAGAGGAGCTGGTATCCTCAAGCCGTGAGCCATCTCTCTAAGCCCTGCTGGTGTGTTTCTATGAAACAGGTTGACCTTGAACTTGTGATCCTTCTGTCTCTGCCTCCTGAGCACTGGGATGCCAGGCATGAACTGCCAAATCTGTTTTTAAGTCCAGTTTTATGCATACACCGGCTTAAAGCACCTGCAGTGGTCTTCATCCTTAGTGGTTAGGTTCCTCATCTGGCCCTCAGCTGGGTACTCCACCCAGGCACTGGGGAAGCTGCCATGGAGGAGCAAGGACACAGCTCTGCAGATGTTAGCCCAGGGTGGACACTAAGTGTCTGGTGTAGGTAGCATGCAGTTTCTTTTGTTTGCTTTTTATATGTATGTATGTTCCTGTTTGTCTCTGTGTCTGTCTCCTGGGTGGGTTTCTGCAGAGGCCAGAGGGAGGCATTGGATCCCCTAGAGCTGGAGTTCCAGGTGGTTGTCAGCTTCCAGACACGAGAGCTGAGAGTTCAGGCCCTCCAAAAGAGCAGCCAGTGCTCCTAACTACTCAGCCACAGGCCTCACTGTGTAGCCCTGTCTGTCCTGGAACTGGCTATGTAGACCAAGCTGGCCTGGATTGCTTCTGCCCCCCCTAGTGCTGGGGTTAAAGGTGCAGGTTCTGGACCTCAAGGGGCGATTGTGTCAGCATGCGACACATCCTTTGGTCTAGGGATATCCTGACTTTTATCGTTTACTTCCTTTTTGCTGTGTGAGGATGGAAGGCAGAGCTTCCTGCATGGCCATTGTGTGCCGAGCTGTACCCAGTCAGCCCCATCTCTGCGCAGAGTGTTAGTCCTCAGCTTCCCTCCATGCTGCTCTTCACATGCTGTCTCGTGCCACAGAGGGTCGTGTTGGACGTCTGGTGATGTCCTTTACACCCTGCTCTTTAGTTTTGAGGACAGGCATTTTCTACTGTCTATAACCCAAACAGAGCCCAGCCCTTCCTGCTCTGGGGACCTTTGTGACCTGCTGTCCTCTCCTTGGTGCACCACAGCAGCCCTCTGAGGAGGCCTGGGCCTGGACGACTCTGGGCTAAGATAGGGTCCAAATGCCTCAACCTTGGTGGCATCCTTTGGGCTCGCTGGAGTAGCCCTCCATGGCCTTTGTGCCCACAGCAAAGCAAACTCACATGTGGCTGGCCTCCAGCGGCTTAGAACTGCAGGTGAAGGTGCCACAGAGACAACTAGCCCTGCAGCCCTGCTGGGCTGGCCTTTTGCTCAGTTGGAGAGACATGGTTAGCCTTTTGAGGCATGGTTGAGTACTATGCCGGGGAGACAGGCTGAGGGGCACCAGTGAGGCAGGTTAGAGCTGGGGAGTTGAGTGACAGGGCCGGGCTCGGGTTTTTCTGGGGACTCATAATGTTTGGGTCTGACTGGTATACATAGAGGGACTGGTACAGTGGCCTCACAGAGCCAAGGGCCCCCTGCTGGCTCCACTTGTTGGAGGTGAGGACGCTGGTCTTTTTCTTAGATTTCCCTTATAATGGGCAAACTCACAGAACAGGATGAGAAGTCCAACCTCAGGTGCGTGACACAGGAATCAGAGACAGCAAGCCCTGGGCAGGCCTGTGGTTTTCTCTGGGTACCAAAAGGTCATACTCTAACCTGGTCTAATCTCTTAAAGGTCACTGGTTGACAGAGGTTCCCCATCACCTCCCCTTTTTTTCTAAATAAGAGAATTCCAAGGCCTTTAATCCCAGCCCTTGGGAGGCAGAACTCACCATATGTGAGTTCAAGGCCAACCTGGTCTCCATTGCTAGTTCCAGGACTGGCTCCAGAGCAACACAGAGAAACCCCGCCTCAGAAAAACCAAACAGAACACACAGGAGAGTTCCAAACCCCATACAAACTACATACACTAGGAACAGACACCAGCTGTAAGATTAGGATCACAACCAGCAGAAACAATATAAACATTCTATCCTAAGGAGTCTTAAGTCTTGTATTGGAAATTGCTTGACTTGATCATGAGAGGAAGGTAACTATGACTATCTAATCTTCAACCCCATCGAAGGCCTGAGAAGGGAGATAATATTACTTGAGTAGGCAGGAAGTGCAGTCAAGCAGCTTCCAAAATGCACAGAGACAACTGGCTACTTGGGCGATCACCCAAAGTCTCATTTGCAATGTTGAAGCAACCAACTTTGGCTAAGGTCTAGAGTAACTGACAGACGGTTTTCAGAGGCAGGAACATTTTCAGAACTGTCTTTACTCTGTCTTGGCTAGGTTTGGCGTCTTTCCTACATCTGCCTCTGGCCATGGCTCCTCTCTGTTCATCATGACCACTTTGTTTCCTGCGAGTTCAGCTGGACACTGCTGCTCTCTGAGCCCGTCGTTCAGCAGGCCCCTTTGACCTGGTTCTGTGGCCTGTCTGTCCCGGTGCCATTTACACAAGGGACTGCTAGTGAGTAGCACTAGTAGCACTGACATCCTCTCTTGAGGACACCCTCTCACAGAGGCAGGGGCATTGGATTGAGTCTGTCTGGAATTGGTAGGCCTGCAAGGGGGAGGCTAGTCTGGCAGAGGCCTGGAAGTATGGCCTCTGCAGGGGACTTCTTCCATGCCAAGCCTTAAACAGGGCCTGTGGTGTCAGGAGACCCATGGGAGAGAATTAGGGCACACTCTATCCCTTGAGGGTGACTTGTCCCTGGGACCTATAGTGCACCAGTGTTTTCTGGAAGCAGCCCCCCCCCCCCAAGAATGGACTTCTGCCCCACAGCAGCCTGGGGGTGTTCTCCGGCCCTGCTTCTCTTTGCCAGAGACTTTGGGGTGGTAGTGGTCTGGGCACGTGTACCCCGAGGTTTTCTGAAGGTCTTTCTGGCTATTCTGGACTCAGTTTATACCTATGGGACTCTGTGGGAAGAGGACAGGCAGGCCTGCATACTGGCTCTGTCTGCTTCTGGGAAAGAGTAGCTGAGAATTGAGAATTTTCTTAGTTGTACTGGAAAGTACTTTACCGGGAAAGGAAGGCCACCTCTATCTAACCTTGCCCAGGGTGATGTTAGCCTGCTTATCAGCTCCTCTGAGCTCTGGTGTGGGGGGGGGGCACAGTGGCTCAGACCTGTCCCTGCCCCAGAGAGCCCAGCATCCTAGGAATTCAAGGCAGCTGTCTCCTTGTACCCCACTGAGTGACCACACCTGCCTGGAAGCCATCACCCTAAAGCACTGACCTTGTAGAGTCACGAGAAGGTTCTAGAGGGTGACCTGGGGGCACAGGGATCCTGGGCACATTCCTTAAAGGTGACTGCCTAGGATAAGACTTGTGCACCCATCTGAGGCTGAGGGGCACGCCTTAGGCCTGGTGTCACCCTCTTTGGCCAGACTCATACTTGTGTGCAGCTTCCCATAGCTTTTTTCTGGTGTCCTGCTGCAATGTGTGTGGTCTCTGTGCGTGAGTCCAAGGTAGCCTTGGAGCTTGACCCTGCTTGAGTGACCGCATCCGTCCAGTGGTGTTGAGCGCAGGGGAATGTAGGTGCCTGGAATGTATGTGGGAAGGCCCAGAAAGATGGCTCACAGTCCTCAGTGGAGGCCTTGGGCAGTGTGGCCATCTGTTCTGGAGCTGCTGTTTAGAACTGTGCCAGTCAGAATCCAAATCCATCTGAGACAGACAGCCCAGAGTGGACTTAGCACCCAGCACTGGCCACAGTGCCTCTCCTCCCTAAGGTGTATATGGATTGTCCTCGGCTGCAGGGCTGGACTGGATGCTAAGCAGTCCCTTAGCTTTAGCAGTCCTTTGGCCTTGAGTGGAGACCCCCAGGTGCTGGCTGGGGGCTGACTTTCTGTTAGCAGGAGAGGCCCAGTGAGACTCGGCTGCCCATGGTGTGGCCTGACAGTCACCCAGGAGGATGCTGCTTGGCTCGGCCTCTTTGTGTCTCTCCTCCCACAGACAGTCTGAACTTGCTCCAGGCGACCTGTTCCAGCCTGAGCACCCAGTTCCCTGTCCAGCGGTCTGTCAGGTGGGGAGTGTAGGTGGTGTGTGGATCCTACCCCCGCCTAGGACTTCGAGACCCTCTCCTGCAGGTGGGGAATTTCCAAGAGCCCAGCCCACTCTCCAGAGATCACCATGTACACCACATTTACACAGAAGGCTCCTCCTTTGTCACTGTAGAATTTTGAGACTCCATCTCATTATGAAGCCTAGGGTGGTGTGATCCTCCTGCCTCAACTGGGATAACAGGTGTGATTACTCCTGGGGTCAACATCTGTATTAGTGATGTGTGTGACAAAACACTTGGCGGTGGCAGCTTAGGAGGGTTATTCTGGCTCACAGCTGGAGCTGCGGTCCACCATAGCATGCAGGCATGGGGGCAGTTTGGGGCCCCAGCCCATGCAATGGTGTCCCCAAGTGTAGGGCGGATCTTCTCACAGCCTATGCAATGGTGTTCCCAAGTGTAGGGCGGATCTTCTCACAGCCCATGCGATGAACATTGGATGTCTCAGCACTTGCCACTAAGCCAATTGAAGCCCTGGAGCCCACTTGGTGGAGGGAGAGGACGGACTCAAGCTGTCCTCTGACCTCTACTTGCAAAATAAGAAGCCATTCTCCAAATGACAAAGCCAGGCAGAGTATCCCTCATCCGGGTGTCTTCCCTGCCCACGCTCACTGGGCTTAAGCAGGGCATTGCTTGCAGGAGGCCCTGGGCATAACATTCATTTTAGCCCTGGCTGAATGGTTTAGTTTGTAGTTTACCCCCACCCCTTTCTCCTCATCCCCCCCTTCCTCCCCTTTCCCAGGGGCTCGGGGCATGCTATGCAGGCTCTTTGCTACTGAACCCCCAACCCACTTTAATCTTTTTGTTTTGAGATGGGGCCTTGCTGGCCTAAGCTGTCCTTGAACTTCTGATCCTCCTACCTCAGCCTCCTGCTGTTGGCCCACTACCTCTAATCATTGGAATGTTACTTTCTAAGAAAGTGAGAAAGCCTGGCACCGCTCCAGCACCCAGGAGGTGGAGGCAGGAGGACCGAAAGTTCAAGGTCATCCTCAGCTGCATTCAGGCCAGCTAGGGCTACACCACTGTGAGATCCCACCTCAGATAACTAAGGGACTAATGAGAAGGCAGCTCACCTGTTTCCTGGTTTTCCCCAGTCCCTTCCAAGGCCAGTGGGCTCTGGCTGGGTCCCAGTATGTGCTGGGTTCTGGTCCCCAAGCCCTTGCTTTTCTAGGCAGCAGGGGCTTAGAGTGAGCACCCCATCTTTTGTCCTTCAAGTTGCAGATGTGAAGTCCCCTGCCATGTCCCCTCATGATTCCCAGTCGCACCTCCCCTGAGACCACCTTGTGAAGGCACGTGGCCCCTGCTGATGAGGGATGGTTCCCAGCTCAGGGTCATCAGCCACAGGCTTTGGGGACAGGACGTCAGTTGTAGGCAGCCACAGGGAACTGCCATGGGGTCACCTCGTGAACTGCACATGTCTGAATGCGTGACTGTTCTGCAGGACTGTATGGGCTCTTGAGAAGGCCAACTGGTTTGTAACAACCTACCCTCCCTGACCCTGCAGCTCACTTGGGGGCAGTGCTTGGAGAGGGGATAGCAATAATGTATCTGGGCCCCACCTCTTCCAGATATTCATAGTTGGGTCGTACAATTCTTGCTTTTACTGGTGGGACTACATAGTTGCTTTATTAAGGCTTAAAAACGGTTTTTACTTTTCATATGTGAGTGTGGGGGCTGTGTGAGTCAGGCCTCCATGGAGGCCAGAGGTGTCCTGGACTGGCCACCTGCTGTGGGGCTAGGGTGTCAGCTAGATCCGTCTGCAGTGCGGTGGAGTCCTTACTCTGCCGTCTCTAGCCCATCAGGTCCTCTGCAAAGGTGTAAAATGCATGAGGGGCTCAGTGAAGGGTGGCCACTCCAGAAAAGCTGGTCGCAGTGGGGTGCACTTGTGACCACGGCACTGGGGAGGTGGAGCCCCAGGAGCTTGAGTTGGCCGTTGAACTAAGTGAGACCTACTTGACTGAGAGCAGGGCTGCAGGCCGGCCAGCCTTTAGCTGTGGGGTTAATTCCTGGTAGGCCCTGTGGGTAGTGTGTCCACTTGGGGTCTCCAGGCCATGCCAAGAGGTCCTTGGGAACTTCGCTTCTCTGCACCCCCTTCTGACATAGGATCTCATGCAGCCCAGGCTAGCTTTGAATTATGTAGCCTAGGCTTACCTTTAACTCCTGACCCTCTTCCTTCCCGCCTGTACCTTCCTAGAGCAGGGTGATGGGTGTGAGCCACCATGACTGGTCTACGTGGTGCTGGGGTGAAGCCTGTGCATCCCTGGCAGTGCTCTGCTCGCAAAGACCCAGACCCACCCCACATGCGCATGCACACACTCACGCACACCGGCACGCTTCTGTAATCTTCTGCACAGGTCCTGCCGTAGGGCAGGTGATTCCCAACACATCAGCATCACGGTGTCATGGTAGGGACGTCCTGGGGGCCCAAGCCTGCTGTGCAGTAGGCTGTTGAAACCTGGTTCTCTTACCTTGCCCATCTCTGGCAAGCTTGCTCAGTGGTTATTCCATGTTCTCTTCCCTTGCAGGGCTTGGCTATGACCCGTACAACCCAGAGCTGCCTCAGCCTCCTGCACAGAGGGAGAATGGCACTCTGGGCCACGGTGATGGCATGCTGGAGCTGGAGCTGGTCAACCAGGCCATTGAGGCTGTGCGTGGCGAGGTGGAGCTGGAGCAGAGGCGCTACCAGGAGCTCCTGGAGACAGCACGGGGGCACGGCGCCGGGTCTTCAACCCTGGTGCCCTGCAGCCCTGCTATGAGCCTGGATGACGATGACACCTTCTCTCTGGCCCTCACCTATACACCAGGTGGCCTGCTGAGCCCAGACTCAGGCTATCAGCCCACCCCACTGGCCGCCCCTGCTGAGCCAGGTCACAAGTACTCACTGGCCCCTTCAGAGAGGGGTCAGAGCAGAGCTGGAGGGGGCACCAGTGCCCTGGAGTATATCCCCAAGGCTGTGAGCCAGTCGCGCCACTGTGGCCGACCCGTGTCTGGTGGCAAGTACGTAGTGGACAGCTCAAAGCCATCCACAGATCTGGAGTATGACCCACTGTCCAACTACTCAGCTCGGCACCTTGGCAGGGTCAGTGCCAGGGATGAGAGAGCTACCAAGCGACCACGAGGCTCCCGGGGTGCTGAGCCCTACACACCTGCCATTAAGAAGCCCTGTGACCCCTTTGGTGGCTGTGAGGCCAGGTTCTCAGACTCAGAAGACGATGTGGCCAGCCCACTGAAGGCTGATGCAGGCAGCCCCAAGGCTGAAGCTGACTCTGAAAGCAAGGCACCTGGGAAACGTGCCTCCGAGGAGGGCAGTCTGCGGGGCACCAAGGAGATGGCTGTGCAGTATGACGTGGAAGACCTTGGGCAGCCTCCCAAAGCAGCAGACACAGTGGCCTTGGCCAAGCTTGGCTCCCCAGCCAGGGCATCTCAAGAGGTTGGGGTCCCCAAGGATGGCAAAGCCAAGAAGAAGAAAAGTGGGACACTGGCCAGCCTCAGCAACAAGGACAAGGCCCGCAAAAAAGACAAGAAAAAAGACAAGGACCCAAGACGGCCCAGGGAGAAGGAGAAGCTGTGTGCAGACAAGAAGAAATCACAAGCTGGCAGCCCTCGGGGCAAGACCCAGGGCTCTGAAGGGACCAAGAAAAAGCCATCCAACACCACCACTGGAGCCAGCTCAGGAAAAGGGGGACCAAGTCACTCCTCCAGTGGAGGGCCACAGCCCCAAGATTCTGGGCCTGGTCCTCACCCGCCACTGGCCTGTAAAGGTGGCAGCGCTAGGAAGTCATCATCAGGGAAGTTAATGGACCGCAAGACCCGCTCCCTGGATGAGGGTGCCTCCCAGAGCACCCCTAAGCTCAAGAAACGGGCCCTGAGCCACGCTGAATTGTTTGGGGATGAGAGTGAGGAGGAGGAGGACTCGGGCCTGGGGGCCAGGGCACTCCGGGTCTGGCTCCCCACCCTGCCCAACCTCAGCTCAGACTCAGATTCAGACTCTGACTCCAGCCTGGGCCTGGGGGAAACGCAGGTGCCCAAGCGTCTCAAGGCCGTACCACCCACACCCCCCGTGCCGCCCTCCCCATTGTCCTCCTCCTCCTCCTCGGGTGCCAGCCAGTGTGCGGAGGAGGATGTGGACTACTCGGCCCTGGAGAAGGAGGTGGACTTCGATGCGGACCCCATGGAGGAGTGCCTGCGGATCTTCAATGAGTCCACCAGTGTGAAGGCAGAGGACAAGGGCCGGCTGGCCCGGCAGGTGAGGGCGCTGGCCCTGCAGGCGAGGGCCCTGCAAGGGGACACTCCATCCTGCAGCCAGCTCCAGCCAGCTCCAGCCTCTGCAACCCAGGCGGAAACCATTCCTTCAGCACTGGCCTCTTAACTCCATCCAAAATTCAGGAACCCTCGGTGGTCGCCTGCTGCCCCCCTGCACCCTGCCCAGAACGAGGATGCTGGCTTTCTACCCACCCAGCCGGCTTCCCATGGCAGCGTCCGACTGACCGTTCAGACTGACCGGCAAAGGGGTACCGGGCCCTCCCGCCCCAAGCCTGCCTCACACTTCCTGTCCCCAGCTCCTTGGCTTTTCTTACCCCCCTCCCCCCAACTCTTACTCCTTTTCTGGCCTCTGTCCCGCTTCTCTCCCCTTCTCCCTGGCTTGCCCGCTCAGGCCAACCTTGATCCATCTGGGTGTCCTTCTTCCTTTGTCCCTATGTTGGCCACCAGGAGGTGCTCACCCTGAGCAGACAAAGATGGACTTGGTCAGTTTCCTCCAGCACCAGGCCTATGGGATGCCCTTGACTGGCACTCCATATCTGAGCCATCATCCTGGGCTGCGTGTGGGGCAGCAGCAGGGGCTATGCCCACTGTCCTCCTGTTCACAGAATTGCTGTCCTAGCCTGGGAGACAGGTGCTGGGGTGGGCCTTGGGCCTGAGATCTGGTGGTGACATCAGGCTGGGTTGAAAGGCAGGAGTGTGACCCACGGAGGCACCCAGAGTGAGGAGTGCGTGTGTATTTTCAGACCCCCAAGGAGGCAGCCTCGGAGAAGGAGCATGGCAGCCTGACCACTTTGCTCCCGGGGCAGAAGAGGAGGGTCTCACATCTCTGCAAGCAAGGCAAGGAGGTAAGACCCAGATCTGGGATATGGGAAGGCAGCTGGAGGGAGACGGTCTGCCACCCCAGTCTAGATCCCAGGCCCCCTGCTGCTGGCCTTTGGTAAGCTGGTGTCCTGTAGAGAAACATGTCCTGACCACTGTCTGTCCTGTTGTCCCTCACTTGGTCATGGGGACAGTGTAGGGAAGTGTGGGGCGAGGCCAGGCTGCCTCAGCTGTGGCCGGAAGGCAACGAGGACCCAGGAGAGAGAAGCCTGCTCAGGGCTGTGGTGACAAGCTCAGCACTTGTTCTTAGAGCCTCCCTAGGAGGTGGGGCAGGGTCCCAGGTGCAAACAAGGAAGGGTTCGTCTAAGGAGATGGCACCGACAGCTCACAGGCCCCACTGCTGCCCTGCACTGGGAGGCTGCCAAGGGAGGCTGGGGGGGGGGGTCCTCCCCACCCTGGGACTTGTCCTCATTCAGCCTGCCTTGAGTGCTCTGGACTCAGAGCTGGGCTCCAGGACCTGTGTTCTTTCAGACAGAGGCCTCAAGGAGGGTTCCTGTGGCTCCCCCAGCACGGCCCCCCACTGCTCAGGAGGTGTGCTACCGGCGAGCACAGCAGGCACAGAGGGACTCAGCTAGCTGGCTGCAGGGTGCCCCGAAACCGACGGACAGGCTCTCCACTGTGCATATCTCGGCCCCTGGGGAAAAGAGGAGGATCGCTCACGTACCCAACCCCCGCCTAGCCACTGGTAAGTCTTGGCCCCACCCTCTTATATTCCCAACCCCAGCTTCTGAGATACAGGAGGCAGCACCCTGAGAAGTTCCTGATAGACTTGCGCACTGCCCTCCTGGGACCTTGGTGACTTACTGTGGAGTAGGGACAGAATGGCAGCCTCTTTGCTTCCTCCCAGATCCAGTCCCCTGGGACACTGGAGCCAGTGGTTGGTGGGACTTGCCTGGGCCTACGTGGAGTGGGCAGCAACTCTGAAGGTCAGGTGTGGGGTAGTCCTGTCTGTGCCGAGTCAAGTGGTCCCAATCCAGGAGGGACAGTGAGGTGTCACCATCGTCTTCCGGCTCCGAGGGAGGGTCTTGCCGTCAGGACAGACCAGGTCTCACTAGTCACTATGTGCACCTGTGACCAGTCAGGAAGAGCTGCCTGGCCTGGGCCTCCCCTTCCTTCCCCAGGGCTACAGTACCTGGAATTCTCTGTTCTTGTTCATGGCCTGGCCCAGCCACAGCACGGCTTGTTAGGGGCTGCTCTGGTTCTGTGACTCTCCTTGTCCTCCAGGCGCGCACCTTGATCTGCTTCAGTGCTCCTGCTATAGCTTGTGCACAGGGCTGGGCATCGCCCCTGTAGGTGTGCCCTCCTCTCCGGGGGACTCCTCCTCCCTAGGGGGCCTCTTCATGGTTTGCAAGTATAGCCTTGGGCTTGTTCCGGAGAGGAAAGCAGAGGCAGCCTGGTCTTGCCCCCGAGCCCTATCCAGAGACGATCCCGACTAGGGACAGGGACTCTCTGATGGTCAGGTACCCTATACCCCTTGCATGGACAATTAGGGGGCATCCCTGACCACCCCAGGCCAGGGCGGAGACTGTGTATGGTTTGTGACCTCATTACAGGGACAGGCAGGTAACCTGTCACAATGAACAGGTCAGGGCATCCCAGGCCCTCTGGTCCTGTGCCTAGGAGCCAGGGTTACCCCTCAGACGTCAATGCCTCAGAGTTGGGGACTGGAACATGCGGCAGAGGCCCCAGCCACACCACGCCATTCGCCAGACTGCCCCGACCGTGGCATTGCCTGAGCCGGCCTCCACAGCCGTGTTGCCCTTCCCTACCTCCATGGACTTGCTCCAGAGCAGCTAGAGTCCCATGTCCTTCCGCATCCCAAGCCCGGTGCCCCGGCCCCCGCTGCGCTGCGAGATGCGCATCCTGCTCACACTCAACGACCGCAGCTTCCTGGTGCTCCGCAGCTCCGTCATGGGCCTGCTGTCCTCCTGTACTCATGTCCCCTGTCCCCCACCAGCCCCAACAGGTGCCAAGAGGGCGCTACCTACCAGCAGCAGCCAGGCGTCCCACGGTCCTGAGCCTGGCAGCCAGCCTCTGAAGACACGCACGTTGTCAGGGATGGCATCCAAGACCACCACCACTGTCACCCCTAAGCGCATCGCCCACAGCCCGTCACTCCAGGTACCGTGCACCAGCTGGTGCCTCCCAACCTCACTGCGGGACTCTGAGGGGCCAAGGGCTATTCTTGGCTCATACTGTCCCCAGTAGGGTTCCATGTCGGCCTTATAGTGTATTGTTTCCTAGAAGGGAGGGTGAGCCAGAGTTCATGCAAACTGCAATCCCCCAGCCTTGTCCTCTAGAGTTCATGCTGGCCTTGTGCTGTGGACAACCCTTTCCTGTGTAGAAGCTCTGTGTCCTAACCCCACTCTCACCCTGACCCCCTCCCTGGGTCTCTTTCCTCCAGAGTCTAAAGAAGCCCATTATCCCAAAAGAATTTGGCGGCAAGGTCCCCACTGTGGTCCGCCAGCGCTATCTCAACCTGTTCATCGAGGAGTGCCTCAAGTTCTGCTCGTCCAACCAGGAGGCCATTGAGAAGGTGGGCCCTGGGCACTGTGGCCTTGAGCTGGAGCCAGGAAGGCCTGTTTGTCTCCCTGGCTCTCATCCAGGCATCTGGGTCCAGACTGACTGCCTGTACTGCTTCCTCGTGGGCGGCAAGGTTCTTCCTAGCCAGTGTGCCCTGAGTCACGGCAGAGACTTGTGTGGGGCGCGCCCTGGCCCTCAGCCCCTGCTGTCACCCCAGTTGAGCTGACCTTCTGCTCATGCTCCTGGTGCCACTGTGTCCTCCGCAGGCACTGAACGAGGAAAAGGTGGCCTACGAGCGCAGTCCCAGCAAGAACATATACCTGAACGTGGCTGTGAACACCCTCAAAAAGCTGCGGGGCTTGGTCCCCAACACCGTGCCCAGCCTCAGCAGTGAGTGGCAGCTCTGCAGGGAGGGGATTGTCCCCAGTACCTCACATGGAAGCTGCCGCCTGCAGTTCCCTCTGCTCCTCCCTCCCTCCCACTGAGGGCCTCTGCTGATGGTGTGCGCTGCCTCTTCACAGGGAGTGCTTGAGCACTGCCTTTGTTGGGAGACAGGGTTAAGATGTTTCATTCCGTCCCTTGAGAGGCCATGTAAGGCACACCACAGTGATCTCGCTTGCCTGTACAGCCCCTAGCCTCCGCTAGCTTCTCCCCTACCCACTGGAAGGGTCTGGGTGGCCTTTGGAGGCAGTGACAGCTCAAAGCCGATTCATTAGTTATCTTCCTGAGTAACTGCAGCATGCCCCTGCCTCACACCTTCCGTTAGGAACAGTGGGCCCGTCCTGTCCACCCGGAGCATGGATTGGGGAACTGCTCAGTCCTGGGGTGACTTGTCCTGCCTTCCCTTCCCAGCGGGGACTCTGTAGGCAGGAGAAGGTAGTGTATATGCGATGGGTACTGGCTAGGAGACAGCAGTGAGGTGACCGAGGGCTGAGTGCAGCTGGCTCACTCACCCCTGCCTCCTCTGCACTTCCTTCTAGAAGCCAGTGGCCGCAGGGTTGTGTCCCATGAGGTGGTGCTGGGGGGCAAATCGGCAGCCAAGACCAGCTTCTCACTGAGCCGCCCCAGCAGCCTCCGGGTGGAGGATCTGAAAGGTGAGTTGGCACCTCTGCTGACCCACACCTCCCTCTGTGCGTCCTGACCCTGCCCTCTTCCATATCTTGTCCCCCCCTCCTCTGCAGTAGGGACTGCCCAGTGCAGCAGTGTGTATGCATGTGTGTGCGCATGTCCCCTATCCCCTGCAGCACCGACACCCAGTGTCTCCACAGGGAGTGCCCTGTACAGCCGTCTCAGGGAATACCTGCTCACCCAGGAGCAGCTCAAGGAGAATGGCTATCCTTTCCCCCACCCAGAGCGCCCAGGGGGCGCCGTCATCTTCACAGCTGAGGAGAAGAAGCCCAAAGACCGTGAGTCTCCTCCTGTTGGGCCCTCAGCCAGGAACACTGAGTGGGGAGCTGCCCGCCGAGTTGGGGCATCAGGAGTGCTGGGTGCCAGCCTCTCGCCCATGTGCTCTCTGTCCATCTGTCCTCACCCCCAGCCTCCTGCAGAATTTGCTGTCGCTGTGGCACCGAGTACCTTGTGTCCTCCTCGGGCCGCTGTGTGCGCAGTGAGGAGTGTCACTACCACTGGGGGCGACTGCGGCGGAACCGAGGTGAGGCCACTGGGCCACAGACAGTCCTGCCTACACCCTCCTGGCCACCCCACCCCACTTCCCACTTCCATGGGAAGGCCCTGGCCTTCTGTGATCTAGATTTTCCTCCAGAGCAGCTCTGCTTGGCTCCAAGGGGGACCTTCCCCGGGCCTGCAGCAGCTTGAGACACTTGGCCAGGTGCCTTCCTTGGATCCTGCTCCCTGCCCGGTGCCCTGAACACCATTGCTCTCTCTCCCCAGTGGCTGGGGGCTGGGAGACCCAGTATATGTGTTGCTCCGCTGCGGTTGGCTCTGTGGGCTGTCAGGTCGCCAAGGTAAGGCCTGCTGTGGCCACGCCCTGCTCTTAGCTTCTGCACTGGGGTTGAGGGACACATCTGAGAGCTATATATGGGCTTGTTATGTGGCCCCACTCAGCCCTTCCGGTGAGGAGTACACTGGGCCCACCCGCCTCCACAGGCACCTGGTCCCAGGCCTAGCCAGGGGCAGGGAAGTCCCCAAGCATCACTTGTGGCCTGTGCTGGCCCTGCTGCTCACTCCCTTGTTCCCCAGCAACACGTGCAGGACGGCCGGAAGGAGAACCTGGAGGGCTTTGTGCGCACCTTCCAGAAGGAGCTACCAGAAGATTCCCACGCAGGGGTCTTCGCCCTCGACTGTGAGATGGTGAGTTTGGGGTCTCAGGAACCTAGGTGCTGTGTGCGGCTGGGTCCACTCTGGGAAGGTGAGGCAGGGAAGCCGGCCAAGAGCTGTCACCGATGCCCTATCTCAATGGCTGTCTTGCACTATCAGGCTAGTGGCCTGGGGCGGGGCAGTCTTCTCAGCCCACTTGAGAAGGCTTCTCTGAGTCTCCAGCCCACGCCTCTCTCTGCTGCGTTGCCCTCCTGGTGTCATCCGGGGTCTGAGCAGCTGCCATGGCTAGCCACAGCGGGGAGAGGTGAGCCGGGCAGCCGACTGCATTGGTGTCCGTCTCATGCCCGCAGTCCTACACTACATACGGCCTGGAGCTGACCCGCGTCACAGTCGTGGACACAGACATGCAGGTCGTGTACGACACCTTTGTCAAGCCTGACAACGAAGTTGTCGACTACAACACCAGGTTCTCAGGGGTGACGGAGGCCGACCTTGTAGACACGAGTATCACACTGCGGGATGTGCAGGCCGTCCTGCTGAGCATGTTCAGTGCTGACACCATCCTCATAGGACACAGCCTGGAGAGTGACCTGCTGGCCCTCAAGGTATCTGTGCCTTCTGTGCCTAAGGATGGGAGGCCATGCCTACCGGGTCCCGTCCATTATCCACCCTCCTCCCTGTAGGTGATCCATGGCACGGTGGTGGACACGTCAGTGCTGTTCCCACAACGCCTGGGCCTGCCCTACAAGCGCTCCCTGCGGAACCTCATGGCCGACTACCTCAGACAGATCATCCAAGACAATGGTGCGGAGCCTGGGTCCAGGGTGGGGGCTGGGGGAACATACAGAAAGTCAGGACTGTGCTTGCCATGTCTGCCCTGCAGTGGGTGGGCATAGCTCCAGCGAGGACGCCAGCGCCTGCATGCACCTTGTCATCTGGAAGATCCGAGAAGACGCCAAGACCAAGCGATGACTCCCCACTACCGTGCCCCTCCCTTCCTACGACCCTGGCTGCCCTCAGCCCCTATGCCCCATGGCCTCTTTTCAAACTGTATAATAAAACATGACAGCTGACCATGCGCTTCCAAGCTCAGGCTCCAGGTCTGCAGTGGCCCTGAGACCGAGCGGCCCTGAGCCCTACACAGTCCCACGTGTCACCCACCCCCCACTTCTGTCCCTGAGCCCAGTCAGCCCCCACCCCTCCTTCTGCTGGAGGCAGTGGTCCTTCCTCCCTCCTTTGTATATAACACAGGTGACAGGACAAGCCCTCGTGGTTTGAGACAGGGGTTGTCTTTTTTTACTTTATACTGTTATTTTTATTACTTTTTAATTTAAACCTGCTGACCTGCACAACTCCTCAGTAGAGGAGTTCAACCCTGGTGCCATTGGGATCCAGGGGCCGAACCCCACACAGTCAGTCCCATGGGCCTGGATGTCTGCCCTGCCTTGTGGGGTGGCTTCCAGAACTCACCCCAACCCACCAGAGCTCTCCAGCCTCAGAGCCAAGCCAGCCCCAAGACCGTCTTCCGGGGGAGAGGGGCTGCTGCCTCTCTCCATGGGTAGGAACGGAATAAATGTTTATATGAAGTTTAGATTTCATATGTGTGGTGCTTTGGCCAGGCAGGACACCTTCTTGTGGCCCCTGTCCTATTGGCCAGGGTTGACAAAACAATTTATTCCCTTGTTCAAGAGGGCCCTTGCCATCCTGTTTTGGGGACCTTTGTGAGACAGCCCTCTCCTGAGTGTCCCTGGTGCATGCTGGTAGTGTGTGGTCCATGCCTCTTTGCTTGGTATAAACCCAGCTAGCTACTCAGACAATGTCCAGGGTGAAGACCAGGGACCCTTGCCACCTGAGAAGGGGCCTATAGCCATCAAGGTTTTCTGGTTTCTAAGACCAGAAAACAATAAATTTTCCACATGACCTCGGTTGGTTGGCCTCCTCTTGGCAGTTGTCTACAGCACAGTGAGATCTGGAGTGGGCAGGCCCTGGTTTGGCTGCAGTTAAAGCCATGCAAGGACACCCCACTGTGATGGTCAGAGCCCTGTTTGAGCCTAGTCCCTGTTTGAGCCTAGTCCAAATGCTGCGCAAGCCACCTGTGGGCGCTCCAGCCCGTGGCCGCAGCAGCCTGGGGGGGGGCGTGTCTATTTGGTGGACAGGGAACTGCAGGACCCATGGGAGCTTTCTTGGTTAAGCTGGGCAGTCTACCCTCAGGGGTTCTCTTGACCAATTTGTCCCCTTTTACCTTCTATAAACAAGTTTTTTTAAAAAATAAATGGTGCCGATGTATTCACAGAAGTCCAAGTGTCTGCCTTGGGTGCTTTGGTGTGTGTGTCTGCCTGGACGTGTCAAGGTCCCCTGGAGGTTCGCCCCTTTTTGTTAGCTTACCCTGGCTCTGCATTGGAGGAGCCCCTGCCTCATTGTAATTACCCCTTCCCCTGGAGAGTCAGGTGGGGGGTCTCCCAGATAAAGGCCATCCAAAAGGATATGAATGCAGCCCATAGTTAGACCAGTGGTTCTCAATCTGTGGGTCTCGAGGCCCTGCAGAAGGAAACCCACTGACCCCAACACCTTGTCCCTTCCTGATACCTCAGAGATGCCCTTGCCCTGGTAGCTCCCCGTCCATTTGCTGCCTGCCTCCTGGGCCATGACGTCACCCTTTCACAATTTTCCTAGGTCTGGCCTCGCCCTCAGAGGCTGCAAGCAGACCCCTGCCTGACCTTTCAGCAAAGCTTCCGTGTCTAAACCCCCGCTCTGGTTTCTGGCCCACGGTGGGCCTCTCTCCATGAGGCATAGCTCCACCCATGAAACGTGACACCACCCACGAGGCGTGGCTTTATCCACAATCCATAGATGCCACGAAACCTGGCTTCCACCCATGATGGCCCAGTCCATTCTTGGCCCACCTACAAGCATGGCCGTGCCCACAAGACCTGGCCACACCACACTGACCTGGTCCCTCTCACAACACTGCCTGACCCTTACATCCATGCCACTCAGCTAAGCCCCACCTTCTCCAGGCCCGGTCCAGCGGCCTGCGGCCCCTTCCCCTCCCTTAAGGCCCTGGTAGGCCCCGCCCCTTCTCAATGCCCCGCCCCCCAAGCCCGTGCCGCCCGTTTCAGACCCGTTGGCACCAGGCTAACAGCTCCCACAACATCGGCGGCCCTGGACGCCGCTGGCGGCCCACCCTAGGCAGCCCGGCCCCACCAAGCCCGGCCCTCGCAGGTGAGCACCGATACTCACAGCCGTGCATCCCAGGACTTCTGTGTGACCTCTCAGGGCTCTGCAGGTCACAGGGTTGGGGTGTCAGCATTGGGTGCAGGAGATGGCGCCCCCTAGAGGCTCATAAAATCAGACACCGAGTTGGGGGTTACTGATCCGACAGCCTGGTGACCACTAGATGGAGTTTACTGGGACTGTGCATTGTGGCCACGAGGGGACACTGCCAATGGCGTGTCTGGTAAGTGGGCGGTGTTCCTGCCCTAGATGCACTTTGGAGAGGGCGTCTCTTGACTCGGACAGGTCAGGACCCCTTAGGATTGCCTAAGACCATCGGAAAACACAGATATTAACTTTACAATCAAATAATAATAGTAAAATTACAGTTATGAAATAGTAACAAAATAATGGAGCTGGGCAGGTGAGGGCACCAGCCTTTAATCCCAGCACTCAGAGGCAGAGACAGGAGGATTTCTGAGACCCAGGACAGCCAGAGCTACACAGTGAAACCTGTCTCGAAAAAAACAAAAATACTAGTATTATTATCACTAGTAAAATAACAATAATAATAATATAATTTTATGGTTTGGGGTCACCACAACACGTGGAACCTACTCTAAAGGGTCGCAGCATCAGAAAGGTTGAGAACCGCTCGCCTATGGATCCCCTAGAATCCCAGCTGCCTGGCAGGCCTCCTCACCCCATCCCTCCCACATCCTTCCCTAGGCTCAGTTTTCCTCTGATGATTAGGGAGAGGCAGGACTCAGTCTCCCAGGACAGACCTGGTGCTGAGTCCCGGGGACACACGTGACTCAGACGCCCACAGTCCCTGTCCCTTGGAGAGAAGCGGGGTGCAGCAGACTCAGACTGTGAAAGCTCTAGAAGAGGTGACTAGAGGCGGGATGGGGGACGTCCCAGCTACTCAGGAAGCCCCGAGGAGGCGCAGGATCCCGACTGGCTGGTCTGGGAAGTACAGAGTGAGAAGTGAAGGGTGAGGAACCTATCAGGGAGGGGAGGATGTTGGGAGGGGGGGCACACAGCACACCTGGGCAGGCTAGGAGATTGCTGTAGTGTGGGTGTATGGGGGTGAAGTGGTCCCGGGGTTGGGGGGGGCACCTGCTGGTTGCCTAGGTACAATTTGTATAGACTTAAATGGGAACTAGGGTCCCTAGCTACAACACCAGACTCAAGTTTCCAGACCAGCCAGGTGTGGTAGCACCCCTCTCTCGCCCTAGCTATTCCAGGAGCCTGAGGCAGGAGAATCGTGAGTTCAAGGCCAGCCTGGTCAGCGTAGTGAGACCCTGCCTCAAAAAATAAACCATCATGCCGGGCAGTGGTGGCTCACTTGGGAGGCAGAGGCAGGCGGGTCTCTGCGACAGTCTGGTCTACAGAGAGAGTTCCAGGACAGCTAGGACTGCACAGAGAAACCCTGTCTGGAGAAGCATAAACAAATCATGAGAAAGGTTATCAGGTTGACATCTATCACTACACTTAGCAGCCAGACCACAGAGATCCACCTGCCTCCATGTCCCAAGTGCTGGAATTAAAGGCATGCGCCACCACACCAGGCCAGATCTATGTTTAAATGGCTGTATGCTCACATACACAGGCTGTGAGATGATGTAACACACACACGCACAGGCCTCGGCCCCATTGGGTCAGTCCATGAATATGAGTTGAGCTTGTGTGGGGAGCAGGTGGAACAGGAAGGGCATGGGGGAGACTAGAGGGCAGCCAGGCTGCCTTGCTGTGGTTGGAGGCCACAGCATCTCAGCAATGCTGTCCCTCGTCCTGGGTGCTGGGGATAGATGGGGGACATAAGGCCGACTGCTCAGATGGACAAGAGGGGCAAGCGAGATAAATGTCTTCCCTAAGCGACGCCCAAGACAGGGGCTTGCTATGCAACCCACGTTGAGCTGGACCGTGAAGCAATTCTGCTTCAGCGCCAGGCAGGGGATTGTGGGTCCAGCAGTGAGGCACTCTTAGAGAGGAGACCTCTAGGTCCTTGAGCAGTGACAGACACTACCCGAAAGAAGTGTGGAGACAGGGTGATTGTGACTTAGGGCTCTTTCCTCCCAATCCCACAGATCCACCAGCATGGATGATGTTCACCTTGGGGAAGACCTAGAGGATAAAGACACAGGTGCGGTCCTGTGTCCCCAGTAAGGCAGTGTGGAGAGGGAGGCGCTGGGTGACGGGTATACCCTCAGCCCGAACCACATACCAGAGTGGACCACCAGGGCTGGATTTCCTGGGACCCAACTCCCTGATGGCCTGGGGGTAAGCCATCTGTCACTGCACCTACAGCCTACCTCTAGGCACAGAGACCACTGGGCTCCCAGTGGCTCCCCTGTCCACCTGGTGTTTACCAAGTTCCAGGCCTGAGATGGGCATCACTGTACCTGGGGCCCCTGGGGGCCTATTAGCCTTCAGGCTCCAGGGTGATACGCTAGCAGTTGTCCCTGGTGGAACCCCAGCAGCACCAGCCATCCCGCCCTCCCCCTCCCCCGCAGCGTTCACCTGGGAGGTGAAGGCCAACAACCGTGCCTACCACAAGCAGTTCAGAAAGAAAGGTTTCCTGTGCTGGAGACAGAAGAAGTACAAGGTGAGTTGCCCCTGACAGCTGCACCCCAGGGCCCCCGCCCAGCACCTGACCGTATGGTGAGCCAGGATCCACCCTGAGAGTCTCAGAGTTGTTTTTTTGAAAGGAGATCTCACTAGGTACCCTGACTTGCACTTTAACTCAGGATCCTTTTGCCTCAGCTTCTCCAGTGCTAGGGAATTTATTCTAGGATTAGAACTGGAACCAAAGGCCTCTGAATACTGTGGGGAGTTCCATCCCTTGAGCCATGCCCAAGCACCTCACTGGGTGATTCTAGGTAGGGCACCACCCTGACCACACCCCGAGCCCTTCACTGGAGGATTCTAGGCAGGGCTCCACCCTGACCATGCCCCCAACCCCCCAGTGGAGGATTCTAGGCGGGGCTCCACACTAGAGCACACATTTTACCCTTTATACAAATATAGGGTGACCTTCAGTTCCCTCTGTCAGTCAGGCAGGATCCTTCTGCGCAGTCTCCTGAGTGCTGGGATGACATGCCTGTGCTACCAGGCATTCTGCCGCCTTATTTTAACCATGATGACAGTGATGTCATTCTAAGTCCCTAATTCCACTTCCTTCCTGGTGCTAATCCAACAGCTGCTAGTTCAGGACTCCCACCAGGCCTACCTACAGTCCCTCGCTATGTCTCACTCGGCTCCATGACTTTGCCCTAAGTAGAACCTCAGACAATGCTGTTGAAGGCCTGCTCTCAGCTGGCACTCCATCAAGACCTTGTCCTCAGCAGGTGCTCAGTCGATGCTGGCTAGAAGCCTTAGGCATTCGGTACTGGCGAGGTGGATGCTGTTGATGTCGCCAAGGCCTCGGGGGAGTCTGCAGGGTGGGACAGGTGGGGAGCCAGGTGTCTGAGCAGGGCCCCCAGGGGCTTCTGTACTGGGGGAGCAGGTACTGCATGCCGACAACTGATAGCTCTCATTCTAGAGCAACGCCATCCACACAGCCAAGTACAACTTCTTCACCTTCCTGCCTCTGAACCTGTTTGAGCAGTTTCATCGTATTTCCAATCTCTACTTCCTTCTCATCATCATCCTACAGGTGGGCAGGGCGGGGTGGGGCGGGGCGAGGTGATGGGCGGACCTCAGGGTCACAGGAGCCACCTTAGGTGGGGGCTTCTCTCTGAAGACTGTGTGATGGGAGGCCTTAAAGTCACTCCTCCTCCCCTCTCCTGTGCTGGCTGTGTATGCTAGCGGACAGTCCCCGGCAGGCAGGAGGGGTATCGTGTCTGCTGAAAGCCAAAGATGGGTGCGGGAGAGAGGTTTCGTATTCAGCAAACACTATCCTGGGGCCTTGTATTCACCAAGCACTCAGTAAATGCTGGTTGCGGGATCAGGAAGGCACTTAGCACTGTGGGGCTTCACAGGCTTTCTGCGGCCCCACCCACCTGCCTGGGCTCTGAGAACGGCGTGGGCGCCCTCCACTGGGACAGGTCCTGGCACCTGGTTGATGCCTGGCCTAGGGGTGCGCCCTGGGAGGAGGTGCCTCCCTCCCAGCTGTGAATAGTGTCTCAAGTGTCTCAAGTACACCCCCAGTAGTCCGGCACCTCATTTCTGCTCTGCTTTAACCTGTCAAATTACAAAACATGTATGGAGTACCTGCTGTGTGCGGGGAGTCAGCCAGGCCCTGTCCGCCATGGCTTCTGTTTGCCTGAGACTGGGGAGAGTGGCAATCTAGGAAGGGCTAGAGGACAGGCTCAGGTCTGAAGGAATAGAAACCTGGCTTCCGGGAGAGGACAAGACAGAAAGGGAAGGTTAGGGTGGTCTGTGGAGGGGGGGAGGAGAGGCTAGTGTGACTTTCTGGCCCCTCCAGGGCATCCCTGAGATCTCCACACTGCCCTGGTTCACGCTCTTTGCCCCTCTGGTCTGTCTGCTTTTGATCCGAGCCACCCGTGACCTGGTGGATGACATCGTGAGTGAGGCGAGGGTGGCATGGGCCAGGGTATGGGAGGTTGGGACTGTCCCCAGACCACACATAGGGAGCAGAGTGAGCCCAGGGGGCCTCGGGCAGAGTGTGCTGGGCCTCCAGGCTCGACCGGGAGCACTTGTAGACAGGTACCCTCTGCCTCTACCTCTCTCTTGGGGATCCGCTCTGGGGTGGAGTGGGGACAGGGGACAGGGCTGCCTCTCAGATCCTCATTTGTTGGTCCAGGGTCGACACAGGAGTGATAATATCATCAACAACAGGCCCTGCCAGATCCTGAAAGGGAAGAGGTGAGGGCTGGGGACATCTGAGGACAAGGAGACTAACCCTGGGGGAGCCGCTGAGCGGCTAGCACCTTTCCACACTGCCCTAGTTGGGTTTGTGTGACTGTGATAAAGGCCACAACAAAAGCAGCTTGTGAGGAAAGGGTTCACCTCAGCTCACGGCTCCAGCCCATCATCGGGAAGGCAGGCAGAGCCTCAAGGCAGAGCTGAGGCAGAGTCCCCGGAGGACACTGCTTATGGACCTGTTCCTGGGGCTTGTTGGGCCTGCTGCCCTGCACAGCCCAGAGCCACAGTGGGCGGGCTGGGGCTGGGAGGGGGGGAGCCAGGGGACCCTCCCACATCAATCATCCATCAAGATAAAGACATGCCCGTGGGCCAATACGATGGGTGCTTTTTCTTAGCTAGTTCATCCCAGCTGAGGGGAGGTGGCTCTCAGATGGGGACCTGACAGTTTGCTCCGTAGATTGTGGAGCTGAGACATAGGGGGTTCCCCTTGAAGGACATAAGTGGTGCTGGAGCGCATCGCACGGAGACATGACCCTGGCTGAGGGCAGAAGCAGGTTGGGGAAGGTTTTCTGGGGGCAGTGGCTGCCGAACTGGGCCTTGTAGGGTGGTGACTCAGTAAGATCGAGGGCTCCAGAGGTGGCAACTGCAGCTCCATGAGAGGAGCTGGGCACATGGGGGAGTAAATCACGCCCACACTGTGACTCCACCCCCCTCCTTGCAGTTTCCTATGGAAGAAATGGAAGAATCTGTGTGTGGGGGATGTGGTGTGTCTCAGCAAAGACAGCATCGTCCCGGTGAGCCCCCTACGAGTGTCCCTAGGGGTGGGTCTGCTGTGGGGGATGCGGTGTGTCTCAGCAAAGACAGCATCGTCCCGGTGAGCCCCCTCCCACGAGCGCCCCTAGGGGAGGGTCTGCCAACAGTGCCTTTCTGCCCCACCACAGGCTGACTTGCTCCTGCTGGCCAGTACAGAGCCCAGTAGCCTGTGCTATGTGGAAACCGCAGACATTGATGGGTAAGAGGCCATGGCTTCCCTGGGGGCTTGGCGACAGAGCAACCCTTCTTCTCCTGTGGCTGAAAGAGATAGCCAGGTAGTCCAGCTAACCCTTCAGGGTACCGGTGTGTCTGTACCCAGGGCAGACAGCCACGGCGCAGCCCTGACTCAGGGAGCAGGTGTGCTATGTGACCTCAGACAAGGCCTCTCCTTCTCTGGGCGTCATCTTTCTGTGGATACAGCAGGCACTTAGCAAAAGTGGTCAAGGGTCTGGAAGAAGTACAACTTCTCAACACAGGGTGTCATCCACGGCCATATTTTCATGACTCTACACCTTGCTCTTGTCCCCAGGGAGACCAACTTGAAGTTCAGACAGGCTTTGATGGTCACACATCGGGAGCTTACTAGCCCAAAGAAGATGGCTTCCTTCCAGGGTGAGGGAAGGAGGCATCCTGTGTGCCTCTCTCCGCCTCCCTTGCTGGGCCCATATGGGTGGTGGGTTGGCCCTGCACAGTGTGCCACCCATGGAGAGGGACCCCCTGCCCTCTACCTCGGAAAGTGCCCATGCTGCTGGAGGTGTTTTTACGGTTCTATTGTAAAGGCCAATTAGGAGGTTTGACCTTTTGCTGTCTTAGTGCTTTCTCTAATCTTCCTCAGAACTTAGCAATAATTCTAGCACCCAGGAGGCTGAGGCAGGAGGAACCCAGGACTGAGGGCTGGACAGGTGACTCGGGTTAAGAGCACTGGCTGCTCTAACAGAGGACCTGGGTTTGGTTCTCACTGGCTCATCACAGCCAGTAACTCCGGCCCCAAGGGACCCAGTGCCTCTGGGCTCCACAGGCTCCTGCACACATGTGCACACACCTGTGCATAGATGTGCACACACTTGCACACACTTGTGCACACACCTGTACATGCACGTGCACACACATCTCTGTGCGTGGACTGCACAACCATGTACACACACCTGTGCATAGATGTGTAATTTAAAATTTACGGTTGCGGGGGAGGGGGCTGGAGAGATGGCTCAGAAGTTAGGAGCACAGGCTGCTCTTCCAGAGGACCCAGGTTCAATTCCCAGCAACCACATGGTAGCTTAAACCCATCTGTAACTCCAGTTCCAGGGGATCTGACACCTTCACACCAGTGCATATAAAGTAAAGATATATATATTAAGGAGGTTTGGCATGCCTTTAACCTTTAATCCCAGCACTGGGGAAGTAGAGGCAGGTGGAACTCTGTGAGTTTAAGGTCAATCTGGTCTACAGAGTGAGTTCAGTACAATCAGGACTGTTACACAGAAAAACCCTATGTCAAAAAAAAAAAAAAAGATATGTTCTATAAATTGACTAAGAAAAAAAAAACAATTACAGTAAGGGTCTGGGAAAGGATTCTGTGTGGCCTTTGGCCTCAGGGCACAAAGGTCGCCAGCTCTGGGAGGCGAACAGTTTAAATTCCCTCCCCTGAAGGTACCATCTGCTGTGTTTCACATTCCAGGCCTTCCTGGTACTTATCTAGGAAAACAAAGACCTCTGCCTCCTACCACCCTCCAGCAGGCAGTGACCCCAGGCCCCACAGGCCTAGCACCTGGCACACAGTACACGCTCATTTAGTGTGTCAGGTGAGAAGGGCAAGTTCCATAGGAGACCCTAGGAGACCCTGTGTGGTGGCTGAGGCGCTCCATTGCCCCCCCCCCCCCCCGCTTTGGGTCTCTTTCTCTGAAGGACAGAGCTGCCCCCTGTTGGATTGTTTGGCGATCAACAAGTCAAGACCCTAAGAAATTGTCCATGCCAAACATCACAGGTGTCTGGGATCCAGGGAACATCCAAACACCGAGTCCTTGCCTATTCTCTCTACCTGTCCCTCCTTAGGAAACACATGACGACTAGGTACTTCTCTCTCTCTCTCTCTCTCTCTCTCTCTCTCTCTCTCTCTCTTTTAGTTTTTCGAGACATGGTTTCTCTCTGTAGAGCAGGCTGGCCTTGAACTCAGAGACCTGCCTGCCTCTGCCTCCCGAATGCTGGGATTAAAGGTGTCTCTTAAGACAGCAGAGGATCATGGGTTAGGCTGCCTTCCACTGGAACCAAGCATCCTCAGATGCTTATCTTTTCTTCATTTTGTTGATTTTTAAAAATAATTTTATTTTTTTTCCAGACAGGGTTTCTCTGTTTTGCCCTGGCTGTCCTGGAACTCCCTCTGTAGACCAGGCTGGCCTCGAGCTCACAGAGATCCGCCTGCCTCTGCCTCTCGAGTGCCATAATTAAAGGCGTGCGCCATCCCCTTTCTAGAACATTTCTTTCTGGGCTTCACAGAGTTTCAGTGCAGACCTATCTTCCCCTCAAGGAGATTTACCTATGCACGGTCGTGCTCACAGAGTTGAGTTAGTTACTACCAGAATAAGTTTTCACCAAATTGTGTCATACTTAAATATGCCTAAAATAAATGGTTCCGTGGGTGAGACTCGAGAAGTCTGAAGCATCTCTGGCTACAGTGTCTCACTGAGCAGAGCTGCCTTCCTGCTTCCTGTGGATCACCTCTCTGCAGGCCTGGGAAGGTCGCAGACACCCATGTCATCAAAGGCATGGGCCTTGCAGCAATGTCCATCCAGTTTTCAGCCATAGGGGACGAGGCTAGAGAGGGAGGGAGGGCAGGCAATTGGGCTGCAGGAAGAGAAGGATATGCAAAAGTCCTGAGGTCATGATGGGTCATTTCTGGTGCATTTTGAGAAAGCCAGGAGGGTGGCCTGGGTTGGATGGTGACAGCAATGTGGCAGGAAACTGCAGGACCAGCACCAGTGCTGAGGCCATGTGGCTGCTGCTCACCGGGTCCCACAGGTACAGTGACTTGTGAGGAACCCAACAGCCGGATGCATCATTTCGTGGGGAGCCTTGAGTGGAACAACAGGAAGTACTCGCTGGACATCGGGAACCTCCTCCTACGTGGCTGCAAAATCCGCAACACAGACACCTGCTACGGCCTGGTCATCTATGCTGGTACAGTGCATTGGGCTTCTGCATGGGGAACTAAGGGAGAACTGTGAAGCTGGTGAGGGACCTCAAAGCCTACATGATGTGGGCTCTGGGTGCTGTCAGATGGGCTAGTGGTCAGCACCCTGGTTGGGTGGGTGGATGGGTAGATGGATGGATGGATGGGTGGATGGATGGATGGATGGGTGGATGGATGGATGGGTGGGTGGGTGGATGGATGGGTGGATGGATGGATGGGTGCATGGGTGGATGCATGGATAAGTGGATGGGTACATGCATGAGGTAGATAACAGATGGGAATAAATCTTGCAGGTTTAGACACGAAGATCATGAAGAACTGTGGGAAGATTCATATGAAAAGAACCAAGCTGGACCTGCTGATGAACAAGCTGGTGATCTGGGTAAGGCGTCCGGGAGAGCCTGTGGGGACTCCCGATGAGGGAGGCGATGGCTTCCGGGTCCCCTGTGGCCTCCTCATCCTCCGTCCATCCTCCCTCCTTTTCTTCCTGCTTTTTTTTTTTTCCTAAAAATTCTGGGCTAATTTTTTTGTTTTGTTTTGTTTTTCGAGACAGGGTTTCTCTGTGGTTTTGGAGCCTGTCCTGGAACTAGCTCTTGTAGACCAGGCTGGTCTCGAACTCACAAAGATCCGCCTGCCTCTGCCTCCAGAGTGCTGGGATTAAAGGCATGAGCCACCACCGCCCGGCTTCTGGGCTAATTTTGAACTTTCCTCCAGCCTGCTCCCAGTGCTAAGGGGACAGGCCTACCTTGGGCTCCTTTTGTGTTGTGCTTTATGGTAGCCCAGATACAGGAGGATCAGGACTCAGAGGCCACCTTGGATTAAAGACAAAGAGCCCCAAAGCCAGACTAGGACTCCAAGAGCCCTCTGGCTGTCTTGTCCTCCCTTAGCCCCTGGATAAACCCCACGTGCAGGTCCTCCACCCATCCCCGTCCACCCCACAGATCTTCATATCCCTCGTGATGGTGTCCCTGCCCCCGGGCAGGTCCTCCACCCATCCCCGTCCACCCCACAGGTCTTCATATCCCTCGTGATGGTGTCCCTGCTCCCGGGCAGGTCCTCCACCCATCCCCGTCCACCCCACAGGTCTTCATATCCCTCGTGATGGTGTCCCTGCTCCCGGGCAGGTCCTCCACCCATCCCCGTCCACCCCACAGGTCTTCATATCCCTCGTGATGGTGTCCCTGCTCCCGGGCAGGTCCTCCACCCATCCCCGTCCACCCCACAGGTCTTCATATCCCTCGTGATGGTGTCCCTGCTCCCGGGCAGGTCCTCCACCCATCCCCGTCCACCCCACAGGTCTTCATATCCCTCGTGATGGTGTCCCTGCTCCCGGGCAGGTCCTCCACCCATCCCCGTCCACCCCACAGGTCTTCATATCCCTCGTGATGGTGTCCCTGCTCCCGGGCAGGTCCTCCACCCATCCCCGTCCACCCCACAGGTCTTCATATCCCTCGTGATGGTGTCCCTGCTCCCGGGCAGGTCCTCCACCCATCCCCGTCCACCCCACAGGTCTTCATATCCCTCGTGATGGTGTCCCTGCTCCCGGGCAGGTCCTCCACCCATCCCCGTCCACCCCACAGGTCTTCATATCCCTCGTGATGGTGTCCCTGCTCCCGGGCAGGTCCTCCACCCATCCCCGTCCACCCCACAGGTCTTCATATCCCTCGTGATTGTGTCCCTGCTGCTAACACTGGGCTTCGCCTTCATGGTGAAGGAATTCAAAGGCAAACACCACTACGTGTTGGCGCTGCACGTGCGCACAGAGGTCGTGGAGTCTTTCTTCATTTTCTGGGGTTTCCTCATCCTGCTGAGCGTCATGGTGCCCATGGCCATGTTCATCATGTAAGCTTCAGGGAAGGCCTTGGGGGTCCCTGTCCACAGGGTGTGGAACTTGGAGCAAAACTGACTTGATCGTGGGCTTGGCCGTTTGCAGTGCCGAGTTCATCTACCTAGGCAACAGCTTTTTCATCAACTGGGACCTTAATATGTACTACGAGCCCCTGGACATGCCGGCTAAGGCCCGCAGCACCAGTCTCAACGACCAGCTGGGGCAGGTGCAGTACATCTTCTCGGACAAGACAGGGACGCTCACCCAGAACATCATGACTTTCAAGAAGTGCTGTGTCAATGGCTGCATCTACGGTGACGCCCCCAGCCACACCCCCCAGCTTCCTAGGGTGCCCTGGGGATCTGCTAATGAGCACCTGAGCTCAGAACCAGACCAATGGCCACGTGGTCCCAAGGTGTCCCCTGGAAGTCTAAAGTTGGAGCAGGAACCTGGGGATCCTAAGTGTGGCTTCCTGGGGAAGCCAAATCCTGAAGCAGGTTTCTTCCCCAGATTCGGATGATGAGCATGGGATTCTCCGGAAGGTGAGCCCTGTGGAGCCTGCCTCGCTGCGGCTGTTGCAGCCTAGTAGGCCTAGGTGAGGTGAGTGCCAGATCACCTAACCCTGCCTGCACCCTGCCATCTCCCAGCGCAACCCATATGCCTGGAACCCATTCGCCGACGGCAAACTCCAGTTCTACAATAAAGAGCTGGAACACATGGTGCAAGGCCAGCAGGACACAGTTGTCCAGGAGTTCTGGCGTCTGCTCGCCATCTGCCACACCGTGATGGTACATGAGAACAACAGTGAGTGGCCAGGCAGCCTGCTCTCAGCCTGCTACCCCCATCCAAGGGGCTGGGAGATGGCCCCTTCTCACCCCACCCCTCCCCTTCTCACCCCTCCCCTCCCCTTCTCATCTCACCCCTCCCCTCCTCTTCTCACCCCTCCCCTCCCCTTCTCATCCCACCCCTCCCCTTCTCACCCCCATGCTCCCTTTCTCTGTCAGACCAGCTGCTGTATCAGGCAGCCTCCCCTGATGAGGAGGCACTGGTCACTGCTGCTCGGAACTTTGGCTACGTGTTTCGGTCTCGGACCCAGGACACCATCACCCTGGTGGAGCTGGGGGAGGAACGGGTCTACCAGGTTCTGGCCATGATGGATTTCAACAGCGTTCGAAAACGGATGTCAGTGCTTGGTGAGCCCCAGGCCTCTCCCTGCTACTCCTTGTACACTGTGCCTTGCACAAAGCAGACATCAGAACCTTGCCACCCCCCACAGTCCGAAACCCAGAGGGCTCCATCTGCCTCTACACCAAGGGTGCTGACACAGTCATCCTCGAGCGGCTTCACAAGAAGGGCGCCATGGAGACCACCACAGAGGAAGCCCTGGCCGTGAGTCTCCTGCTGGGGGAGGCCAGTGTGCACGGCTGTAGACAGGCGCAGTCAGAGTCCAGGGCTCCATCAGATAGATGAACTTTCCGTGCGCGGGTGGGTAAACTGAGGTCCAGTGAAGAGCACCAGCCTGTCTGAGGTGACCCAGTGTGACAGTCAAGCCTAAGCTCCCACCCTAACCAAATCTCCGTCAGCCATAGCCGTGGTCCTGGCTCCCAGGGCCATCACGGGACAGGGACAGAAGGCCATGGGAAGGGGCGAGCGCTCTTTGCTGGAGTCCTGGCCTTCAGGAGTGACATGTTCCAGACATGCTCGGAGGCCTGAGAGGAGGACCCTCCCCATGGTGATGTTAGGAGGAGTCTTGGGACAGGGACCCTGAGAGGGGGTAGGACCTTAAAATCACTGAGCAGCTGGGGTGTGGACATACACACCTGCCAGCCCAGCTCTGCAGAGCTGAGGCAGGAGGGTGAGGAACTCAGGCAGGAAAGAGCTGGCTGAGCCATGCATACATGCAGAGGGTATGAGAGAGGGTGCCCCCTGTACAAAGGTCCAGAGGCACCAAGGCACTGGTGACTTGGGATGAGAAGGGCCCTGAGGACTGATGGTCAGTTGCCTGTGCTCACAGGCCTTCGCAGAGCAGACCTTGCGCACCCTGTGCCTGGCCTACAAGAAGGTGGCGGAGGAGGCCTATAAGCAGTGGGAACCGGAGCACCAGGAGGCCACCCTCCTGCTGCAGAACCGGGCGCAGGCCCTGCACCAAGTGTATAACAAGATGGAGCAGAACCTGCAGGTGGTGACGGGGGTGGGGGGTGGGTGGGGGGACCGGCCACTGGGCTCCTGCATGTTCTGAACCCATGCTTGCCTTCCCCAGCTGCTGGGAGCCACGGCCATTGAAGACAAACTGCAAGACGGTGTCCCTGAGACCATCAAGTGCCTCAAAAAGGGGAACATTAAAATGTGGGTGCTGACCGGGGACAAGCCAGGTGGGTCCCTGGCACTGTTGCCACAGAATACATGCTACACCTGGGGTGCTGCACCCGCGGCAGGGCTCTCCGCGATGTCCCCAGGAGTGGGACACGTGCCTCGCACAACCTCTGCGCTCCCAGAGTTTCATCGTGACCATCACACAGCCAGGTGGGGACCTCTTCACACCCTTGGAGACACACCTGCCCTGAGGTGACCTGTTGGCCTCCAGGTCAGCGTTGAGGCTCTCCCTAGGGCCCATGTAGAGACATGTCCGCTCTGACAATTTTTAAGGTTTTTAATTTTAGTTTTTTTTTTCAATTTTCTTTTTGACTTTTCGCTTCTGACTTTCAAATAAATTTGACATTTTCGTGTTTGCTTAAAATGTGGTGGGCCTCAGGATCCCGGCTCCACCCCATCTCCCTGGTACCCCACGCATCCTCCCCAAGCCCAGCAGCCAAAGTCCTACGGCTACTTCTGATTGGCCAGTTCTGTTATGACATGGAGCCGCTTCGAGCCAATCACTGCGGCTAGCCAGGAGGTTGGAGGGGGGGAGGCTGCAAGGGACGAGGACCTCCGTGGTAGGCGGGGCCTGCGGGGCGGGGCCTGCGGGGCAGGGCCGGTGGGGCGGGGCCTGCGGGGCGGGGCTCCTGAGCCAGAGTGCGTGCACCCGGATGGGTTTACAGAGACTGCGGTGAACATCGGCTTCGCGTGCAAGCTGCTGTCGGAGAACATGCTCATTTTGGAAGATAAGAACATCAAGTAAGCAGGTCGCGCTCTCTGGCACTCTCACACCGTCCTATGGCTAGGACGATGGCGCCACTTTTCCAACCATCCTTGTCCCGCAGACGTTTACTGGAGAACTATTGGAACGAAAGCGAACAGCAGAGGGCGTTCAAGATGATGACTCACCACAATATAGCCTTGGTTATCAACGGGGAGTTCCTGGTGAGTGGTGGGGGCCAGGAGCAGTGGGGCTGGGGAAACCTGGGGGGGGCATACTAAGAAGAGGGATGCAGGCCTAGTGACCCAAGCCCCTTCGCCCCCTTCCCATCCCCTACACTCGACACTAGGATCAGCTGCTCCTGTCCTTGCGCAAGGAGCCCCGAGCTCTGGTCCAGAATGCAGTGGTGGATGAGCCGGTTATGTCCAGGATGGACTTCCTCCAGGCGCGGAGGATCTCCCAGATGTGGCGAAACATTGGATCCTCCCTGACACAGTCCCCGTCAGCCGCCTCTAAGATCCACGAAAGCCCCGAGGTTCGGCGGGAGAGGGCCTTTGTAGACCTGGCCTCCAAGTGCCAAGCTGTCATCTGCTGCAGGGTGACGCCCAAGCAGAAGGCCCTGGTGGTGGCCTTGGTGAAGAAATACCAGCAGGTGGTGACGCTGGCCATCGGAGATGGAGCCAACGACGTGAACATGATCAAGAGTGGGTGGCGGACCTGTAGCTGGGGTGGGGTGGGGTGGGGGAGTCTGGAGCCTGGGGATTAGGCCCCCCAATGGCTGACAGGGGCTGCCATGGTCCCTGCAGCTGCAGACATCGGTGTGGGGCTGGCAGGTCAGGAGGGCATGCAGGCGGTTCAGAACAGCGACTACGTGCTGGCCCAATTCTGCTACCTGCAGCGACTGCTCCTTGTACACGGGCGCTGGTCCTACATGCGTGTCTGCAAGTTCCTGCGTTACTTTTTCTACAAGACGGTGGCCAGCATGATGGCTCAGATATGGTTCTCCATGTTCAACGGCTTTACAGCACAGGTGTGTGGCGTGTGAGGGCCGAGGCAGGAGGATTGCCACTAGTCTAAGACCACCTGGGCAGATCAGGTGTGGCGGGGCGCGCCTGTCATGACAGTTTGGGGGATTATAAGGCACGAAGATTACCATGGGCTCAAAACAGCTAAATTAAGCCTGGTGGTGGTGCACGCCTTTAATCCCAGCACTTGGAGGCAGAGGCAGGCAGATCTCTGTGAGTTTGAGGCCAGCCTGGTCCACAGAGTGAGTTCCAAGACAGTCAGGAGCATACAGAGAAACCCTGTCTTAAAAAACCAAAAAATAAAATATAACTAGGCAGTTGGTTAGACCTTGGTTCAGAACTACAAAATGAGTGGCGGGGCCGTAGCCGTGCAGAGAACCTGGGGAGGAACCAAGCCTCTGTGTGTGCGGCGGGACACCGAACCAGGTGAGCGCTTGCCAGCTGTAGACCAGGCTGGCCTCCAACTGGACATCCTCCTGTATCAGCTTCCCCAGGGTTGGGGTGCTTGGACTCTGGGTTCCTGCTGTTTGTTTTTAGCTCAGTTAGCTCCAAGAGAAGAACTGGTCTGGCTGGGTCTCTCTTAGCTCTTTAGCCTCTAGTTACCCTCATCAGAATCAAATCTGATGCAATTCTAGAAGCTCATTCTCTCTCCAGACATCAAATTTGGGTGTCTGTCTTTGCTGGTCGCCTGTCCCCAGTACCAGCCGCCGGCTGCAGGGCCCCTAGTGAAGCTGTCACCTCCCTTGCAGCCCCTGTATGAAGGCTGGTTCCTGGCTCTCTTTAATCTGCTGTACTCCACACTCCCGGTTCTCTACATTGGTCTGTTTGAGCAGGTGAGTGCACGCAGGGGGGTCTGTGGGAGGGGGACCTCTGGCTGGAGAGGTTCCTGCACCCCAAGAACCAGATCTTGTGTCTGGTCTTCTGTGTAATAAGAAGGGGGTACCAGTCCAGAGTGATGCCGCCAGGGGGATTAATTTGGGTGAGGACCAGGGGGACTGGAGCAAGAGTTTCAGTTCCATCTCACATTTGAAAGTGAAATATTTAGTTGTTGGTGGGAGGAAAATTGGGCCATTTTGCATGAATATGTGTTTCCACATGCTGAGTGAACTTTTACAGACACGCTTAGAATCCTCACCCACCGATCCCCCCACCCGCCGACCCCCCACCCGCCGACCCCCCACCCGCGGACCCCCCACCCGCGGACCCCCCCAGGACTCCCCCACCCGCG